AAAAAATGCATGGCTTGTCGTCCGACCTGACTCGTGAACGAGTCAAGAAACAGCCTCCAACCATTCAGTTGGAGGCCGGGGAAGCGGGGAGAAAGGGGGAAGGGAAGTTGGTAGAAAATACGAAAAAATACCATAAAATAAGAACGGCGCGGCCGTCTTGCGCGGCGCCACTTTCGCTCGTCTCCTGGGAACCAGGCAATCCTATGAAGAGCGTTAAACCCAGAACAAAAACATGTTCTGGGCCCCGAGGTCGAGACGAGGAGCGCAGAGGTCGAGGGGCGTGCGACGAGCTTCCAGCGGGCGGGGCAACTCGTAGCGCTGTCTAATGCGAGGTGCTGCCTTTCAGAAGGCATGGTACCTGTAAAAGAAATGTTCCGGGCTGAGGGGAACCGTCTACGACGGCTCGCGGCACGCGAACGCCAGCCCAGGGATCAAACTGATAAGACATCGAATGTGAGGGGTTTACTTACTGTTTATCCTTATCCTCGACTCATAATCCCTCCCCCATTCGTATCCCCCATCGGCAGAGTTCCTACGACGGCAGAGGAAGTGGGGGGCGGCGGCGGCGAGACTGTCGGGACCGCTCAGGCGCGAGACGCGACCTTGGTGTTTCGCGCGAGTCCCAATGCGGGCGCTCGATTGCGAGCGCCCTCGCTGCTGTTCTACAGCATAGATTTCAGAAAAGTAAATGTTAAGGCGGGGGGTTTCTTACCTGGCGAATACGAATAGACCATTGACCCGTCGCGGCACGACGAAGAGCAGTGGCGCAGCCTGCTTTCCGGTCGCACAACTAGTGCCACCCGGATTACATCAGCCAAAGGTGAAGTCATCGGGCAAATTTTGCGTCGGCCTGCTCTTCGACTTGGATAGCTTCCTGCTTCTCAGCATCTCTCTCAGCGTTCAGCTCGCTCTCACCCATTCTCGAATTAGACACACTCTCGATGGCTCTCACGAGGAACACTGCATCCAAGAAGACCGCCTCGAGGCGCCGGGGACCCCCGGGCATCAGGGACCCTGCAAAGCACGCCGCTGCTGCGACAAAGGCTGCAGTGACGGCCCTCCGCCGGAAGGACGTTCCGACGACCCGCCAGTCTGCTGCGCCTGGCGCAGCGACTCCTTGGGAGAAAAATGCGATTGCTCAAGCCCTGCGGAAACCACAGCGGATTGACCAGGTACGACGCCCGAACCGTACCGAGTTTGTTCGCGAGAGGGCTATGGCCCACCTTGAGCGCATTCATCGCCGCGCTGAGGAGCTCGACAAGGTTCCGAAAACTTCAAAGCTTCCGCCGTGCAAGTACCAGGGGAATGAGCGGAAGGAAGAGGCAGCCAAGAATTTACGTGCATCAGCTCCGACATTCTTGGTCTATGCAAATGACCGTCGTGATGGGATTTGTGATTTTTGCAGTGCGTACCCATCCCATGTGAAGACATCTACTACTGACAGCGTAATACAGAGAGGTCTGTAAAATTGACTGCAGCGCAGATGGAACATGCAGAGTTCCTGAAGCGGCGCAAGCGTGTCGGGCGAGTCATCCTCCTTCTGAGGCCCCAGGTTAGCTCTCAAGTCAGGGTAAGTCTGTGCATCACCTGGAAGTTGTGATATGGCTTACCTGCTTTCAGAAATCTGGGCCTCATCTCAAGTACAGCACCGTCCACTGGCACCATGTCAGTGTGGCAGGCTGCAAACGATTTGTGGCCAAGGAGGATGTCCCGAAGAGCCCTGGCTCAATTCCACTCTCCAAGTTGAAAGGCTTGGATGTCTCTGGTCTTGACCGGCAGGACATTGACTCTGTCATGGCAAGGATCAAGCGTTGCCACCTCAACCTTGAGCCTGAGCCTGTTCGGGAGGAAGAGGATCCAGAGCGTGATATTGCCTTCCGCGAGAAGAGGGCTAGCCGTGATGCATACTTGAGGAATCGGCGGGAGCTGATGGAGGTGAAGAAGGCTGAGTCGGAACAGTTGCGGAAAGCGCAGCGGAGGCAAGAGTACGAGGTGAGGAAGGCAAAGCGGATTGCAGAGGTGGCAGCTGCTGGTGCTACAGCCTCAGTTGAAGGAGGTGATTTGGTACCAACTCAAAGGGCTTAGATTTATTTCCTGCTTGTGAATTTTCTTCTTTCAAAAAACAGAGAAACAATTCTTTTGTTATGATTCATTTTCTGTTGAGCATTTTATTATCAGTTACGTATCCTTTTCATTTCTACTTTGACTACACTCTTTATTGATCACTCAAAAAATACAATAGTCAACCACTTATGAAATTTACCACCTGTTACATTTCTACTGGATTATAGTTGGAATTGTTAGCAACGTAAAGGGGAGGATTGGTGCGTTGCAAATGAAATGAGATCTTTTGCAGGTGAGCACTGGCAGAGAGTGAAGGGAAACACACCCAACACAACAATTACACCGCAAGCTCAAAGGTCTGCGCATCATGGGACACCCCAAGCGGAACGGTGATAAAGACCGGTGATGAGAGTAAGATAAGGGGAGAGGAATAGGAGGTGATATGACAGATGAGAGAGAGATGCACCCGAGAGCCGCTGGGGATAAACCAACACATGCTGGGTGGGGAGTTGGATATCCACAGTGATGAGGGAGCTGCAAGAGTGGACCACAAAGATGGACAACGTCTATAAAAGCCTAGTAAGACTGTAGAGTAGAAATGAAAGCTGGGGAAACTCAATCCTGAGCACGTAGCACTCCGTAGTACTACAGTACTGCTGGTAGCTGCTTAAGAGGGTATGCTGAAAGTTGCTGGAGCGGTTGGAAAATCCTGAAACTCATTGGAGGGACTCTCTATATATACTAAACACTGGAAAAGGCAAGGCAACACAGACACGTGCACTGTAGAACTCTAGAGAAATCAAATACTTGCTGAAAGTCGGACTGTGGCTGAGGCTGAGGCTGGAGACTGTTGCTCATGGCGAGAGAACACTCGGAGAGACAATGGACAATAGATACTTTGGCTGTAAGCTAGGGGGACACAAACTCAGGGGGGGAGGTATGGTATGGTAACCTACAGGGAGTACAAAGCTATATCTCAAGAACGGTTATATCAAACGATTCTGCAAATCATTGGCATCAACAGGGACACATTGAAAACAGTAGGGAACCCATCTTGGGGTGAGAGTGATGTTGTACCTCTGTTGAGTTTTTCACTTCTGCCATGACTCAATTCAGATCTTGTTAAACTGCATACTTGCAAGTCAGCCACAACCCAATGCCTACAGGAAGAATTCCCTGGGATGCAGTGGAAGGTTCTGGGAACATTCCACAGTATCAGGAGCACAAGGGTGGTGTGGAGCAGTATGGAGGGAAATTACATCATAAGTGGAGCTTGTCAGGATTAGGAATATTCCATGTAGCTTAATAAGCCTTGAGGCTGCAGGATATATAAACCCAGCAGGCCCACCACCTAATTACCAGTTTCATTTATACTTTTTCATTGCTGTTACAGTTCAGCCACAAGTACTACAGGTGAGTCATGTAGAGTGCACTTTGCCTTGCCCTGCCTGCATAACACTCATTGGCTCTATCTTCAGCTATGGTGCTTCCGAATTTACCCGCAGCCCGTCTTAGGCTTGCGGATCCTGAACGACCAAATGAACTTTGTTATGGTACAGGTAAGTATCCAGTTTTGCCACATGATCATTCAGACATTGACTGCGACTAGGCCATCCCATCTGGGTTCCGTTTGTCCTAGAGGAGGTCATGGCTGGCCCTGCTATACCTGGCCCAACAAATGAATATGCCTCTCATCGTCCACTGATTGTTGAATTGCCGTACCATGCCCAGGATGAGGTGAGTAGATCTCTGATATGATACTGTATAGTTGTTGATCCGGTGCAAGCAGAATGGGAATATTGTTGTGCGCTGGTGCTTGCGGCACTGGTGGTGCATGTCATCTACTGAGAGGAGGCACCTCTGGTTGAATAATCCTGAGCACATCGGCCCTGTTACGCATGCCATGATACAGGGCTTGGTTATGATTGGGTTGGATGATTTGCAACAACGTCATATTCTAAACATGTTTTAGGACCAGGAAATCTGGCCAATTTGTCTATTTGATAACAAGAAAATAGTGTGGCTCATTTGTAGTCATCCTGAATAGAGAACATATGCGTTGAGACTTAACTTTTAGCACACTCATGTCCCAGGAAAAGCGTTGAAGGTGACAGACACTGCTGATACACATAAGATACACTCTGCAGTCCAGGTTGGTGGTAGGATTCTGCAATTAACATAACTGCACAATTGACAGCTGCAGAGCAACATAAATTTGAAAGCCTGAAAAGTCAGAGGGGTAAGAGTGGTCTGCGGATGTGGACAATATCTGCAAAGGTATAGTAGGACCCTAGGATACCAACTCAAGCTGGGGAAACTTGATCTGAAAGACGTAGCACACTAGAGAGCTGTAGTACCACTGGTGGCTGCCAAAGGAGGTATGCTATGCTGGAAGTTGATGGAGCGGTTGGAAAAACCTGAGACTCGTCAGAGGGACTCTCTATAGGTACTAGATGCTGGA